ATCCACCCTGGATTCCCTGTGTTTCCAGTTCCTATCTGTACCAGTGTACATCCTCTGGTCTAGCCAGATTTGTAAGGTAAAATTGGGATCGTGATAGTGGGTGGGGAGGAAGCATTTAGGAACTAGAACATACTAGAAACTTGTATGTTTCATTGTTGCTACCCTACACCCTGACTGGCTTGTCTCCTCCCTGCAACCCTTCGGCAAGGGGATGTCCGGTTGCCTACAGATTGGCTTTGGGTCTCCACTCCCCACTCCCCTTCATACACAATGATATGATTTTTTGTTTTGATGATGCCTGATATCTGATCCCTTCAACACCTCGTGATCATACAGGCTGGTGTGCTTCTTCTACGTGGGCTTTGTTGCTTCTGAGCTAGATAGCTGCTTGTTTACCTTCAAGCCTTTAAGACCCCAGATGCTGTATCTTTTGATAACCAGGCTGCATCAGCTTTCTTCACCACCTTTGCTTATGCACCTGCTTTGTCTTCAGTGATCATATCAGGGAGGTGAGCACACAATGATACTTTTTTGTTCTTTGATACCTGATAACCGATCCCTTCAGCATCTCCTGATCATGCAGGCTGGTGTGCTTCTTCCATGTGGGCTTTGTTGCTGCTCAGTTAGATGGCTGCTTGTCTACCTTCAAGCCTTTAAGACCCCAAATGCTATATCTTTTGGTAGCAGGGCACCATCAGCTTTCTTAACCACATTTGCTTATGCACCCACTTTGTCTTCAGCAATTGTGTCGGGAAAGTGAGCATCATGGAATGCCAGTTTACTAGAACAAAGTATTCTTGCATTGAGGGAGTGCCCATATAATATTATTAAAAATAGGCAATTACTGAAAACCAAACTCATGGTCATCGAGTCGATTTTGACCCCTAGTGGCCTTGTAGGACAGAGTAGAATTGCCCCTGTGGGTTTCCCAGGCTGTCAATCTTTACCAGAGCAGACAACTTTCTCCTCCCGTGGAGCAGTTGGTGGGTTTCAAACTGCTGACCTTGTGTTGGCAGCTCAATGCATAGCCCATTACGTCACCACAGATACATGTATTAAAAATTAAGGAAGACTTATGATTATGACTGATATGATGGACTGGGTGTCTGGGAGACAAGGTTGCAGTTGTCAAAATATACAGTCTACTGGGAACAGCCAGATGGAGACTCCAGTGCACTGAGAAATGAGCACACTAGGCTAATTAGTATGGATACCAATACACAAGGACGTGCACGTGAATATGCACAGGAGGGGAGCACATGAGGCCCCATGGAACCAAACTCACTCCAGTGAGATCCCAGTTCCAGCCCATATTATGTGTGTGATTGCCTGGAGCCTGTGGGTCTTGGCTGAAATGTCATTTTTCGGGGCTTCCTTTCTGAATCTCTGAGATGAGAGTATATGCCCCCTTGGCCAGCCCTTCCCGGCACCATTCTTCATAATTGGAATGGTCTGTT